CGCCTCCTAATGATGACCAATTGGCCAACGGCGCCCGATACCAACCAGAATTCCATGGCTTCAGCGATGAAGGTCGAGTCAAAACCGGATTTCCGAATTATTTCTACCCGCAATCGAAGATGTGGAGAGAGGCTTCTGGCTTTCTCCCCTCGCCTGATCTATCGAACGGAGATCCTCAAGGAACTGTAGGTGTGTCACCGAATACAATCGACGCTCAAAACAACACACGGTGAGTATTCATGCATCTCAATGCACGTTTGGAATTGAATTGCCTTACCTTCGGACACTGCACAGATGTTCCTCCGTATGCGCCTACTACACCCCATTCATGCACCGCCCCAATTTCCACGTGATGACCAACGTCTCTGTCACCCGCATTATATGGGAAGATGTGCCTCCCTCATCTCCACTTCAGCCTGGAGCTCCAAATTCACCACTGAAAGCCGCTGGCGTAGAGTTCCGCAATGTCAACGGACAATTACAACGACTTTATGTGGCAAAGGAAGTGATACTTTCAGCTGGGGCCATCGGGAGCCCAAAGATACTGGAACTTTCAGGTGTTGGGAATGCAACGTATTGTTTGCCATGATTTTTGTACCTCAGCTCGTCTGACTCTATCTCTGAAAGAATTCTGCGAAGCGCTGGAGTGGACACCGTTCTTGAGCTTCCGACAGTCGGCGAAAATTTAGCAGGTATGGCATTACTATTGCTGGACAGTATGATATGAACTTCATGATCACCTCGTCAGATCATGTACATGGCTGGGCGAACGCATTTACCAACGCTTCGCAAGTTCAGACCTCATCATAACTTGCGGAAACTTACCAATATCTAGATTGACGCGAGATATGATGTTTCTGGATCCAGAATTTCGCGAAGAGCAGCAGAATCTATGGTATAAGAATCGAACAGGTGCACATTCTCCTCCCCGAAACAACTAATCTGTTGTCTGATACTTTTCTCCACATGAGGTCTACTCTCCTCGGTTCCCAGGTCCCTGGGCATTGCTGCTGCATCGGATATCTTTACCGCACCCCAAATGACAAGCGTTGTGAGAGAAGCTCAGATTAACCTCAAGTACTATGCCCAACTCTTCTCCAACGGAAACGAAAAACTAGCCAAGGGTATTGAGGAACAACACAAAATAGCGTTGGACCTTTGGGAAAAAGATCGATCGGCGCCCCTGGAGCTCAATGTTGGTAAGTTGATTGATCACATACGTTGGTGGGTGCTACAAATGAAAGCTTTCTTGCAGAACCAGGTTATGCTGGCCCACAATCCTTTACGGATCGACCACGCAGAAAGTACACGTCCATTAACGCCGTACTTTTTGGCCCTCTATCTCGGGGAAGAACCCATATCACCTCGTCCGATCCCTTTCACCCTGCCGCTGTCGACCCTGCCTATTATGCCCATCCCTTAGACCTGATCACGCACGTCAAGGGCATACAACTGGCTCGCAAAATGCTGCGTGCACCACCTTTGAATACCATTTACCAAGGGGAATTTGAACCTGGCGCGGAAAAGGTATCAGATCAGGATGTAGAAGGGTGGACAAAAGATGTGGCGGCAAGTGACAATCATGTTGTTGGGTCATTGGCAATGATGCCGCAGGATTTGGGCGGTGTGGTGGATACGAAGATGAGGGTGTATGGGATCAAGAATGTGAGGGTGGTTGGTGAGTATCCTGTTTGCTTCCTTCATTGACTTGAACATAATCTCGTTATTGCATTTCAGATGCCTCGATCATTCCGTTTCCACTCAGTGCACATCTCGTGAGATTCTTTTCGGGCATTTCCCGAAACATCACTCAACGTATTTCCATTCAGATATCGACGATTTACATGATTGGAGAGCGGGTAAGTCTGGCATTTGTATGTTACTCCCTGAACTGAGAAGTCTTCTGCAGGCTGCTGATCTTATATCAATGGACCATTGACTCGAACAATACAACCATGTACAAGAGTTTGATCAATTATTTTACGCTGAAAACCGTTGGAAAACTGAGGCGAGACCCACCAGAGGCGCACCTCGACGAGAGAAAAGGAGGCAATGTGGATGCGATGCACCTAACGAGGCGGAGACCAATGTATATCTTGTGTTCTTTCGCCATGCTAGATAAGATAAGATGTCGCCCAAAATATTCTCATGAGATCCGATCATTTGCCAATTCATTACACAGCCACTCGAAGGATCTCCTGATTGGTTAGGCAATCTTGGCGTCACGGTCTTGACTTTAATTATTCTTGACGTTGACCACCACCTTCTTCCGTGGTCCGGGTTGGATCCGGATTCCTAAAGTTTGAAATACTCCTGCTCTCCCTCACAGTTCCAACCAAGAATGCCTTTCTCCGCTTCAAGCTCGAAATCCTTTGTCGTCGCGGTATCTCGGGCGTCTTTTGCCACTAGAAGCACGACAATAGCTTGGCATGGGTTTCACAGCTACAGCCTAGTGCATACGCAAAAACGCAATGTACTAGCCGACGAGCGGCGATCAGGTATGATACTCGCAACGCAGCACCCTGACGGCCATATTAACTAGTCGGGCTTCCGTGTTATAGTTTTCAACCACCACCACCGTCACCGTTCTACCATGAGGTATCTGACGACGGCTTGTGCTCTTGTGGGTCTTCTTCCTGTTGCATCTGCGGCCTCAGTCTTCACATTGCCTCCGCTTGCGAATTCTCTGGTCCAGCGGTCGAGCTCGACAGCATCGTGCAACCATACCCATACCAAGTTCCTCCCAGAAATCGAGGAGCTGTTTCATGGAAACAAGGAATTTGTTGAGAGCATGTCCAAGATGAACCCAGGATTATTGAAAAGCTTGGCTGTGGACGGACAGAGTATGTGTTGTCATTATTTTCCTCGTTAATTTCTCTTTTGAATTCTTTTGCAGAGCCCCCGTTCATGGTGGTGGATTGTTCAGATAGCAGGTGCGCTTCGAGTTTGTTACCGCTACAGAAAGCCTGCTTCATATATTACCATGATCAGGGTCAACGAGCAAGGTATATTCTCAGCTGGACCTGGCACAATGTTCACCGCTGGCAACATCGCAAACCAGTTCGACGAACACGATATAAACTCGTACGTAATATATAGATGACAGTGGTGTTTTTGCGCCCAGATTTTGACTCCTATCAGGAATGCTGTGCTGTCCTTCGCGGTCAAGACTTTGCAAGTCAAGCACGTCATTGTGATGGGCCACTACGGCTGCGGAGGCGTCGCAGCAGCCATGATGCCTATCGAAAAGGTAGAAATATCCAGTCAGTCGGCCGATGTGGCCGTTCAGAGCTGGATATACCCCATACGAGAGATATACGAGACCTCTGAGAGGTCCGTTTCCATTCGGTCTGGATTCAAGTACCTGTTCGATCAATTGACGAACGATATGGATAGACCAGCGATTGTTGAGCATCGACAGAAGAGCAAGATAACGCCCACAAGGGAGCCGCCATTGCTTCATGACCGTATGTACCTTTCAGCCATGTCGACATGATCATACTCACGCCAAGTCTCTTACCCTTTCAAGCTGCATTCCGAGCCTTGGTTGAAGAAAACGTGAAAGCCAACACCGATAGGATCGCCAAATCTATCGTTATGCGAGACGTACGTTGCCATTGCGTTGCGTCCCGTCGAGCCCTATTTTATTGACTGTTCTTGCAGCACTACGCAGCCCTTGCCCTCGCTTCCTCGTCACCACCGTCACCGCCTGGTGCTCAAGGAGCCGCCGAGCCGCTGGTTGACGTGTGGATTCACGGCTGGGTGTATGATGTTGAGAATGGGCAGGTCTCAGATTTGGGAGTTAGCGTGGGTCCGCCGGGGAGGAAGGTGCCGCCTAGTCCATTTCCCCTCTTGAAAACATAGATGGATGAGTGTTGCAACTAATACCACCTGGTGCATCAAGTGTTCTGATTTGCGACTGAGATATTGCTGTATCCTGACTTCGCATACCACGTTTGGATTCGGCATTTGATGGGCAATCGTTGCGATACTCGGGTCATGAAAATCTTAGGGTCATTGTAGTCAATCAGGCGAATACCCAGAGCAAGAAAGATATCCTAATTACGAAATTACCGCCCTCCTGTCATCGTCATGCAATTACGAAGGTGAATCCCTGCAAGTTGAGTTTCAAGTTAAGCCACGCAGAGCAAAGTCAGATTTGAGAAGGTGACAGAACCGACTCCAAGTTCTCGTACGGCTGGGATCGCCGAGCTCGCCACCCAATCACAGCAGTGCATTGTGAGTGAAATATCAAGATCGAAGTGTCTCAGCAGTCAGAGAAATTTTGCACAAACCTCCTTTGACAAGCAAAAGCAGGCAAAAGTATCACGGGGTATGCGATTGCAAGAGCCATGAGAGCGATGCCTACTTTAATTTTGCTGTCTTCCTGAAAAAAAAAGTAAACAGGCTTTTTTTTCACAAGTCAAAATAATATCGCGCTAAACGCACCGTCACTCCAGCGTCGTGAGTGAAAATCGGAAACAGTCCCTTGGTGGATAGGCGATATGCTGCTCTGATGATATGGCTGATTTTACGTGAGTAGCTTTGTATGGACATTTGAGAAACAACATTGGAAGGTTATCAGAAAAGAATAATCATGAATATCGACTCAATTACCATACAGAATAGCCAATTCTAAGCTAGCTGAGGTGCGCACTTGGAGCAGCCCATGATTTTGCCATATACCTTTGTTTCAAGCTATCAGAAAACTTAGGGACACACAAACCTGTCCAAATGCATTGATCACACTTTCCAACATCACCCAACCGAATCGATCATGAGATACCAGTAACATTCCGGTTCAAAATCGATGTACAGCGATCCTATCGACTAGCATACTTCGAAACTTCAGGTTCTTCAGTATAAAAGATGGCCAAGCCTTGCTCGACATGCGCGATAAACATCGAGGGGACGAGAATCGTTGTTAATATTGATGATAGGTAGATACTGCTAAAACAATTGATATCCCGACAAAAGAAAACGTTCTTGATGTCGGGAAATGGACTCTGAGGGAGTTGAACCCTCGACCTCACGCAAGCACAAAGATGCAAAGCGTGCGCGCTAACCACTGTGCTAAGAGCCCAATATGTGTTGAGCGCTAACGTAATGCTCCGATCCTCAAAGCGGGTGAAGAGAATATATGAGCGCCTATCACCGGGATGCATACGGTTTCATTCACATGCCGACAAGGATGTAGAGTTAATGCAGATCAGGGTTAACGACAATCAACGCCGATATAACCCGAATAGGTGGCCTTACGATGGCGTTCATTCGGTTCCAAACATTCATAATTCATTTGTTCATCAACGGCTAAAGCATTTCAAGGTCGAAACTAAGACTTGCTATATAAACTGCAGGAATGAACGATTACAAGAATCATGCCGAATGATAGACCTTCTTCCCAAACGAAACTTCAACTGCTTCCTTGTTCGTATTATATCCCCACAAACTGCATTTTGCTATGTTCCATGGTATACATCTAAAGAGCCAAGATACCGGCGAGCATGGCGGCAATGGCGCCACCGTTCACGATGAGTGAAGAAGCTGAGCCAGTGGAGGTAGTGGAAGAGGGCGAAGTGCTCGTCGGGGTGGTGGTTCCGGTGGTTGTTGCCGAGGCAGGAAGGGTGAATGAGACGACGTTTGTGGTGGTTGCGGTGCCAGTAGCGGACAGGCCAGCTTGGAGAAAGGGACAAATGAGGATCAATAAGCAATTTGCAATGTGTGGACCTACCAGCACTACATTGCGCAGTTTGAAGAGCGAGGGCTCCCGCAACGTCAGAGGGTGAGCAGTTCTTTTGGAGACAGGCTCCCGCATCTGCTTGGAATTGGGCAGACTGGCAAACACACTGTGGGTCGGTGCTAATGGTCATGTAACGATGGTCAGTGCTGGAAACATCAAGTGTACAGCGGCATACTAACAAGGCACAGCCGTTGGTTTTTGCAGCTGGTCCAATGCAAGCAATAACACAGGGTGTGAGGCCTGGAATGCCGGTTGGGACCTGCGCGTTTACAACGATGGTGGCGGCAGTCAAAACGAGGAGAATCTTGGAGAACATCTTGGATATAATTTTGTGGTCGTGAATGGAAACGTGTAAGGACGTGAATCGGAGTGGGGAACGAAGAAGGGGTGGCGCCGTCGTTCGATTTTAATGCGCTTTATATAGGCGGTTCCGAATGTGATCACATTCATTCTAGTCTGCAGGCGTGGGAGTTTGGGGCCATGTGGTGCTGAGGGGTCTCCCCACCACACCCCTGTTTGCTCAAAAAGTGGGTCCTGTCCAGTGTCCATCACATTCCCCCAAGTACCATGGAGCCCATATTTCTCTGGATTTACGCTACTCGGAGTTCCCTTATATTGGAAGCAAGTTGTGTAAGTATGAGATGTAAGTATTGACTGGGACATGCAAGGGGCATTGAACCTGGGCCTTAATTTCAAACCCTTACGCATATCATGACGAAAGGAAAGACGTCGCCACCCCAGCCTCACGCCCTCCGCAACATGCTGCTGCCATCCCTCCAATAATACGGTATGCATAGATTCTCGTTGGCTATGGCAACTGGACACTGTCGACGTTAGCGTGAATAAGCAATGTCACCAACAACATTCAAGGCGTAACACTTTTTTCAAGTCTCCAGACACTTACGGTTGACACCTTCCCCGCGAGCCTTTCTGAATAGCCGTAAAGCATACGAGCTTGTCATGCGGATGGATGCCTCCATCAATAATCCCACCCTAACTTCATCTTCTGATGTAGAATGAAGAACGTCGAGCATGATATCCGTTGTCAATCCATGGCTCGGAAAATGGCATAGGTCAGTTGAATTAAACTTTGACCTTGTAGGCAATATGTCCACTGGCTCGACACTTGTAGTCCTTCCAGATAATGCAATTCCGATCACTATAGAATCAAAGTTGGGCGAAAATGACTTAGTCAAGCTGCAATCCGAAATTGCGAAGGACCCTCTTTCACTATACAGTTACCAGCACGAGATGTGCAAAAACTATCGTCCACCCTAACACATTTCGCAGCTTCACGTTTCCTTTCTTCTTTTCTTCATGGGAGGGCTGACTGAACCCTCACAGAGAGCAGCACTGACTTTGACGACAGAAGCAACGGTGCAATCAAGCCATGCGGTTTCAAAAGATGGTTTGCTTTCAAAGCCTACGAAGCTTATTACTGCTATTTTCAAGAAGGGAGTTCCGCCCTTACCATCAAACCTTTCGTTTAACCTTTGAAAGATTCGGAGTATGGCCAACGTAGTTTTTTGGCCATAAAGTTCGTTCACGCATTTGTTTTGCTCATTTAGCCCCTGACGATCTGGGTTAGCTTGTGGCTCGACTCGACTCGACATATCTGAAAATGTTGTTCTACAGTAGGGAGTACTAACGAATGGATAAATAGGGATTCCTGTTTCCCGTAAACGCTTTTGTTGAGTAATCTTTACAAGGACTCAGGGTTTGCATTGCCAACTGAAAGAATCAATTCTTTTGCGGCTGAAGAACGAGGCGTTATTGAGCATCTGAACGGCTTCGGCATGCTACATCAAGCAAAATACACAATTACCAAGCAGACTGGGGAAGTAAAACACGACTTACTTTACCAACGCTGCGATGTACTCATGCGTGAGTTGGATCTCATTTCCATGCTCGTCTTTAGCTTTCTGAATGTCGTAAACCGCGAGCAAAGACGCGACTGCAATCCAGATTGTGGAGAAAGCCATGTATCGACCAGGGCATATCCTGAGGAACATCAGTGAAAATATGGTAGGAATGTCAAGTGATTACCGTCTACCAAACCCCCAACATGCATGCGCAGGATCCCGAATGGACTTATCCAGTTCACCGTCCTTCATGAATCGATCGGGATTGAAGCTAGATGAGTCGTGGTATGTATCCTCATCTCGGAGCATTGCCCTGCAGAATTTCAAGAATCTGGGTGATGAAACTCGTACCCGACGTCGGCGGACATACCACGAATTAGCAACGATCATGGAACCAGCCGGGAGACGATATCCCTTGTATTCGTCTTCCACTGCGAGAAAATGGGGTATGCCTATAGATGGAGTTCGCGAGTCGTCGTCGTTAACAGAGACTTACTGAAACATGGACTGCATACCGAATGGGATGACGGCTCGCCAACGCAAGCTCTCCTTGACGATAGCAGTGATATACGGTAATGAGTTTACGTCTTCAAAATCTGGCATACAGGCGTTCCCCAAGACGCTGTCCAATTCATGCTGTGCCTTTTCCACGACTTGTGGATTCTCTAGAAGACCAAGGATACACGAAGCAATTGCAGCAACGGTCTGCTTCGAAGATTAGAGTCCTCTCATTATTCGACTCAGAAACATACAGTGTCCGAACCAGCTAATCTGGGTGAGCTCAGGTACTCACGCTGTCCGAAAGGCTGGCGTACCTGCATACAAAGTACCCGCCGTGGCTTTGATGATTTCATCGTTGTACGCGTCATCCTGTGACCCATCTTCCACTCTTTGAAGACAGGTAGACACAAATGAAGTGGCGGCAGTACCCTCAGCCTGTTTTGACAGTCAACAACGGTACGTTAAATCTCGGAGGACAATTAAATGGACCGACAATATCTCTTTGAGTGGCGGCATAAGGGAGATCAACCATCGCACGGGCTAATTTCCTCCATTCGCGTGCTTTGCGCTTGAATGCGGCGCCTGGCATCCAATCGGGGACATGTTTGAGTATAGGTAGCATGTCGACCAAAAAAGCTCCAGGAACGATAGCTTCAATCATCGGACCGACTCCCTTTTCCGCAGCCATGACGTAGGGATCATCGCGATCTTGCACCTGTATCCCATAAGCTATTGACATGACAATTTCTCCTGCCATACTGGAGAAGGTGAGCGATGGAGAAGCTCACTTTTGAAAATATTCTTACTGCGACAGGTTTCCCAGCACGTCATCTGGCGTCTCCAGAAATCGACGTACCATGTTACGTGACGATGTTGAAAGCTGTGAATGATATCCGGAGGCAGCGGCTGGGTGGAAATGATGATGCATGAGGCGACGGTGCTTCCGCCTGACACGGATCAGAATCGTGCTCCGAGTGTTAGTACAGGCTCACCATCGATCACCTGTAAACGCACGCAGTTGACAATTAGTAATGCTGCGATAACAATAATCTGAGATTAGTGCTATACCATAATCCATTGCCCCTACGTTGAAGTCCCACCCCATTAACTCATTGCACATAGGTAATCTCACTCTGATTACAGTGAGGTGCGGTATCAAAATTTCAGCACCTACATATACATAGATGAACAAACCTGCCAGAATAAATTGAAGATCGTTTCTCCAGGAGTTCCATGGCTGCTTCGGCAGTGTCGAGAACAATGATAGGAGTCCCCACAATGTTCAAATAGATGATGTCTGTGTCTGCGCAGCTTCTTACGTGGATCACTGTAATAATAAGAGGGGAAGACACACTGTATTCTTTGCACCACTGATGGTAAGTTTCGCAGATGGAACTTGTAGGAATATCCCATAGGTTTCCTACTAGCGGGAGTCCCCTGGGCCCTGGAGGAAAAGGCAGAGACTTCCTAGCGCGTCTCTGATATAGGTAGGCAATTGCCAGAGCAGCGATAGCAGCGGCAACGTCGACACGCGAGATGCTTGACACAGAATTGCCTGCAAACATGAGTGGGATGGAGATTAGGACGGGACTGAAGCTTCATATAAGTGAATATTCTAAGATCGATAAGGTCAAACCCGATCACGGTCGCAGAGTCATACACAGGCTTTCGCGCTAAAGCAGCCTCGAGTGATCATAGAGTGCAAACGGGCTGTTCCGCGGGGAATTCTTCACACATCAAAAGTAGGGGGCGCATCGAACGCGAAACAAGGCCAACTCAGTGGCGATTGTAACCAGTCTTAGTTTGGTAGATAGACCATCGCAACTTTGCTTCGTGAACTTATGAGCGAAAATGAACGTTCGTTTGAAGGATCAAGTCCAATACCACAGTTCTCAGAAGGTTGATGATGACGACTATTACCGGAAACCACTATCTGGAATGGAACAGAATGAGTTGGAAGTATGGGGGCATAGGGATGTA